GTTTTATCACGACAATAAAACAAGTAAACATCTCAGCAGCTGTGTTGAAGTGTTTGTGATGCCCAGGAAAATGCTTTCATTTTGCCCCTCTGATTGTGGCCAATATGCCAAAATTGCTGCACAGCGAAATGCTCTTCCAGGGGGGTTTCCTCTGCTTGCTCTCAGTCAGATTGCCTAATGATGATGTAATTCAGCGGCTCCCAGCTAGTGGGTCACGGCCTAAAAGTGGACCACAAGTCTATTCTGAGTGGGTCACGAGTGTGCGGGTCAACTTCGTATAAACAAAGCTGTTGCATTGCCCTGTTCTTGTCATCAGGCCGGTTTGCATGCTATGCTGTAAAAAATACAGTTTAGAGTAATCAATTATCCTAAGCTGCATGTCTTTGGACTGTGGGAGGAAGCCCGGAGAACCCGGAGAGAACCTACGCTGAAACGGGGAGAAAATGCCCCTACAAAAAATAATCCACACAGGAGGGAAGGGGCGTCCAGCCCTGGAATGGAACCTCTTGCTGTGAGGCGACAGTGCTTGCCACCACACCACCGTGCAGCCTATTTCAATTCAGCTAAATTTAAATAGTCTTGCCACCAGTTGATACTTGTCTACGAGTTAGGAGCCGTTCAACTAAGAGATAAAAGACAAAAATATTATGCAGCAGAAATATCTTTTTTCTTAGCTTCTTGCATCATGGGGGGTCCTGGTCCCGGGGTTGGGAACCATTGATCTAGCATTCAGCAACAAAATGAAAATAAATAAAACAAGGCAGCTTTTGAATTTAGCAAATCATCACAGCTAATGTGCGCTATGACTCACCGTGACTGTACATCATACTGAAGGTCAATGTACTCTGGCGCTGAGCGGAAGGGCATGTGACTCATCACAGAAATAGCACATTCAATTAAAATGAAGTTGTGAAAGACACAAAGGAGAGCAGCGGCTAATACTTTGTGTCTTTTCCTCCAATGACACATCGTGATTGTTCCGCTTTGCCAGCTTTGGAGATGGGTCTGTGTTCATCCTCCCAGTTGGCCTGTGGGGCCTTGTGAATAAACACATGGAGGTTAATGTCTCATGTTCTACCCCGTTCTCTGCCGACAGCTCTGACAGGAGGAGAGCGAGAAGAGCCTGAAAGGAAAGCTGTTTCGGTAATTCGCTAATCTGGCTCTCGCATCTCTTTGTTTTAGGCAGTGAGACAGGATATTTTCCTCAAGCTACCGTTGAGAAGTACATCTCGAGTACCGCTGTGGGTGAGCTGTCAAGGGGAAGTTCTTTCTCCTATTCTTTTTCTGTTGTTGTTTGTTGCAAGAACACCCATCATACCCTAAGGGGCCTTTAGTGAACTTGCCATCACCCACACATACTGACAGCAGCGAGCACGTACTTCCACGGTCCCGCTCACGTCACAGAGGCGATAAACAGCCATGGGCTTCACCACAGAGATAAGACGTCCAAGCAGTCCGTCAAACAAACAAAGCCAAATGACGAATCTGGAAAGATGTTAAGAAATGACGCTAGATTGCCCATGTATCTCCTCCGACTGCCTATTTTTCCATCCACACGAGCACACATATAGTATATACTTGTACACCCACTTCAGCCTGTCCTGGAAAAATCATTAGAGCCCCCACCGCCCCACACACACTGCATGCAGATGGAGAAAAATAGGGCTGAGAGCCAAAACGCCTGAGGGGATTTTCATGACAATAACCTTCTGTAGAGCTGCTTGTATCCCTCCACCTAGATCAGGGAGAGGTGCTGAGGGATGGATGGGAAAATAAGCGAGATAACCATACAAAATATTAGGCGAGGAACATTCACACAAAGTACAGAGGAGGAAGAAATCCGTGTCATTTTGCTCTCATGGCCTGGAGAGATGGCAGGCTAAATGCTCTTTTAAAACAGCTTGAACATTGAAATGATGATGGCTCCTTTTGCCTCAGCAAAGCACATTAATACATAGCCGAATGCCATTTCCACTTTTGTTAAATGGCTCACCTATTGAGTATTCAATTACAATGGCTGTCTCTCGCTTGGAAGACGGGGCTGGGACCCATAAAAATAAGCTCCCTCTGAGTGTGGAGCTGCAGAACGCATTGGACAGCAATGGAAGGCATGAAGAGCTCCTGTATGGGGGTGGTATATATAATGTTAATGGCAGGGGAATGACGAGATTGTTGGGTATTGGCTGTGGGGCAAAAAAACTAAGCTGCTCATCTGCGGTACCATTTTATTGAGGAAGCATATTTTTAAACCATTTGCGCAGATACAAAAAAAGAGCCAAAGTACATGAAATGATCGAAATTGAGAGAACCGTGAATCCTGGCTTTAAAAAACATCAGTCAGGGTGATTAATGCAGTCTTGATTAATCGCTCCATTTGTCTATGATATGTCTAAAATTCCACAATAGAAATCCGACAGTAATGGTCCCCCCCCCCCCATCCCCACCCCCCTATTCTGCGGTTTATCTCTTATGCTCAAATAGCAAAAGCAAATTGTGGCTAATTTTAACGGCAAATCCACCAGCATGTGGTTTTTCCAGCGGTAATGATTCCCTCATTCGGGCCTAATTAACTGCAGCCATTAAATGGAGGGAAATGTAATGCCCTGGGTTCCATGTCAGGTAGTCAGAGGAGGACAGCACAGAAGGACTCAATTAGGCCTGTGCTGTTCCCAGGTTATCACACGACATGTTTGCCAATTAAATGGAGTAGCGTCTGATGTCTATGTGCCTCTGTCGGCACCATCTCAGGCCCTAGAAGCGCTGAAACGGCGTCGTGAGCCTCTCCACCCTCCCCACCAGTGAAGGAACAGACACTACACTATGCCCCAAAAAGGCAGTAATTACAGGATGGATGGGAGACAGTTATATAAGTAGGAGGCTGCCGATAGGCCAGGCAGGGCCTGCTGATGCCAGGTTTCAAACAAGTACCAACAGGATCGAGTTACAGCAGAATTACCAAGGGTAGAGACACATTTCAACATCAGAAGCAGGCTAAAACAAGGGAAGAAACAGCGGCTATTGACATTTTTTTGGAGTCTGCTGCACGACTGTTTTGGAATTATCAAACGATCAAAGGGGAATTGTGAGCCGACTGAAATAAGATCCCAGTCATGACAAATAATGCAGCACTCGATTCTCAAAAACTTCAATCTTCCCTAAAATTATTATTAGTCACTCTCAAAACATGAGATCTCACAGCTGCTTTTAACATATTTCCCCGAGTGTGCGTAGCCCTGTACCGTGACTCAGTACGAGTGGGAGAGGAAGGCAGAGACAGGCAGACACATTAGCCTTCCCTTATGGCGCACTCTGCAAGGCAATAGGAGTCAGTCAGCATGATCCTGACTGCCACTGACTTGTTATGAAAGCATCGCGGGCTGAGGCTGATCCATCACTTTGGGGGGTGGAAGTTGGGGTGAGAGGACGGCCAGGGGGGCTGGAGGGGGGGGTGCGAGCGTGGGCGATGCAGCCCTGCTGCCTGTCACTCACCATGCACAACTGCATGACCGCCAACCTTGTCTGACTTGTGCACAATGGGAGGTCTCGGGCTCGACTGTATGAGCAGTCATTCCACGCTCCCTCCTCCCAGCAGCCGACACAGAGGAAGGCCAAAAGGAGTCAAAACACTCTGGACAGGCATTAGTCCTATACGGACCCTGGAAGACCTCACTGCTTGAGGCATCTGAGCAGTGAATATCTGCTCTGTTTCCCCACTGAGTCTCTTATTTTGGCGGTGTTAGCCAGGTTCAATTCCAGAGAGCAAGCCCTGACATAGACTCCAAAAGATAATCTCCTTCAACAAACATACATTGCAATTATCCGGAATCATTAAACTGTAATGACTGGAGGTGTGAGCAAACTTCTTAAGCAAACAGTTACAGTACCACCCACCCGAAAATACATAATGCTTGCAAAATGTACAACGTGGTTTTCGGAGACAGAATCGTTCCTCACAGCAATTAGGGAGCGAGAGAGATGTGCATATGTAAAAGGGAGGTCTTATGCTGGGAGAGGAAAGAAAAGAGGAAAAAGCTGAAGTCAGCAACAGCAATAAATCCTCGAATGCTGAGCAGCTTCTTCCAGCTCTGTCCTGGTCTGTGGACCTCATCTTTAACCCGGAGACAGGGCTCTGTTTAGTAGCTTTAGCAGTGGGGAGGCGAGTTCAGTCCAGTGATCATCCACTCCACTCCCCTCCCCCCGACGGTTCAGTTTCTCCAGGCGGTGCCTCCGAGTCAAGCTCAGCTGGCCCGTTAGAGGACACGTCCCAGCAGCACCACGGTCTGTTACCACAGCTTGACCTCCAACCAGCGACTCGCTTCCACAGCGGCGAGAGAAATCAATAGATCAACCGGCATGAATATGGTGACCAAAATTGAGATGAATGATCACCGGGCTAATTCTTATTCATCCCTTTATGGGGGCAAGTGATAAGTGAGAAGTTAAATGGATACTGAGGAGGAATGAGAGCACTGAGTGGAGTGAAATGGTGGACATGACATTTTGAATTTGCTTTAAACAAGGTGAGAGGATATACAAAGTATAAATCACTCAGAGAGCACATACCTCCACCAGGACTGCACAATCCTTTGCATATGTAAGATATAAGAATAATAATGGAAGATATTCAGAAGTATTTAGACTGCATCGGGCATGTTTGACTGTTTTTAGGAGAAAAGTGTAATCTTGACCGGGACACATGCTAATATCAGCATGTTTATATGTTTACAAAATCCCTCTAGCAGGTATAAGGTTGACAGTGTCCACTGTTTTTTGACATTTTAGCCACAACGGCCAAACATTCAACAACAGAGGTTTTTGATAACTTCGCTCTAAATAACCAAAAACCGAAACAGACGATCACGACTGACAGCCCAACCTCCCTTGTGAAGATAAATATAAGCATGCTCAAAGAAACACATGTACTGTACATCTTAAACAAAACAACGTGTTGGCAAATATACGTCCTACAGAGGACCGAGCACACGTCTTGTTTCACTTACCGTCTCGTTGCCAAACAAGATGTCGACGTAAGGCATGACCTCCATCAGGGGCTCTTTGAAGAACTGGCTGATGAAAGGTGCCGAGAGGTTCATGCAGAATATTTTGTTGTTATCTGAAGTGTGCTTCGCCACCTTCATGATGGACTCCGGGGACACGGTGAGGAAAAAACCCTGGAAACAAGAAGAATATTTACTTGCAGCAGTTTGACTGACCTCAACTGGATCAGATACATTCCCATATACACATTACACATTACATATAAGGTGCCACTGCACAGGCAACATTGTGTGTGTTTAGACAACACAACGTGGTGCCAGGATGGACTGAACTACAAGCACCTGTGGGCTGAGACACTTTAAACTGCTAATTTGTGGGTTTGAATCCTGACAAGGCAATTTTCGGGTGACAAGGTTTGGTATTATTGAAATAACACAGGAGCCAAGAGAAGAAGTAGTGCTCAAACATTTATCTGAATGGTTTCTTAGAGTGTACACAGAGCAACAAAGAAGAGGAAAAAAAGGGCAGGAAAAAATCCGTCCAGGACAAAGCCTGTGGCTGGGCTCCAAGGCTCCTACTGGAGGAAGCAACATGCACGTATCCGATGATAGGGCGAACAAAAGTCTCGTCTGGACTCTCCTTACTTGGAAACAAGAGAGGCAGGTCCACTCATTGTGTGAATGAATACAAATCAGGTAAGAAAACACCTTTGTGTTTCAGGTGGAAACCTGAAGCGAGACTCTCCGGCAAGCCACACAAAAACACTCCTCCTTTGATACTGATCTTCTTAACCTTGTTTTTCAGCAACAAGCTGCTCTGTAAAACCACTGTGTCACAATAGGGGCAGAGAGGAGAGGAAAGTTTCAGCACAGTGATACATTTAATCTGGCTGAAAAGCTTCCATTGAGGGGCTTACAGCGCAGTTCTCATTAAAAAGCACGGTGACATTTTCAGCGATGGCGGAGCGACCTCCACGAAAAAGGAAAGGGTAGAACACCGATGAATAGAGGGCGACCGTGTAGTCAATCAAACGCACAAGGCACTACAATACAGCCCTGCTAAGCAGGTGAATTCTTTATTACACATTCGTGATGTCATTCCCTCTCTGCGAGGACATTCTCGTCCCACGTCCCGTGTTGTTTTTCTTCAGAGACGTCTTTAGCTTAAGGCCCAGGGCAGCGTGTGGTTGCTGTGTCATGGCACCATCTGTTGAAGACTAAAAAAAGGTGTTTTCAATGGATCTGGGAGCACAAAAGGAACTCACTCTGAGCTAATGGCCCATCACTGACCCTGACATTTTTCTTTTGTGCCGTGCCAACGTGTCAGAGGAAGGGGAGATTGTTTTCTGACACAAATGATCTTTTTTTTTTTTTTTCTTTCTTTGGTAGTAATAAATAAACTGTCATGGTTACCGTAATGTTAACACCGATCAAAAGCCGGCAGCTCGATCAAATATCCTGAGGGGTGGTGAACTTTAAAAGCCATGCCACAGCTTCTCTAATCACACACTGGCTCTGTGCAATTTACTTCTGGCCTCACTACCACTGCAACCGCCATCAAATTAAATAGCTCACAGCTCAGAACGGTAATACATAAACTGATTACTGAACAAATTTTATCCATGTAATTCAAAAGGAAAATATTCTCCAACACATAATTCTTATTTGAGCACTCTAGTCCATGTTAATGTGATGCAATGCATTTAGAGTGGGAATGTTTTTTTTAAATGCTAAAATAAACCAAAGAGACAAAAACAAGCACCATTAAATGATTAAATAATCAGTTGATATCTCAGGAAGTTGTTTAACCAAGTGCGCATATCATCTTATGATCAGTCTAGTTAGACAATGACAGCATAGACAACAGTCTCACCCATTACATATAAGGAATTTGCTGTGTGATATAGTGCTTATGCAGTTTTTATGCATGTTATATTTAGATAAAGAGTGTTAATCTATGAGGCCCTCTTTTGATACAAAACACTGTGGGACACCCTGACAAGTAACCTGTAAAATGAATATCCATTAACAACATCCATCTACATATAAAACACTTTTTAGTGAATGTCTGCGTTTGAATTAAAGTAATGCTGCAGGAATCTTGTTCATAAAAATCATACAGGACATTTTTTTCCCAACCAGGCTCCAAATGTTGAGACTCCAGTGGCTTGTGGGAGAAGAGAAAAAAAAAAAAGCCTCAGTCTGAGCCATGTGAAATTCCAGTTCCCATCAGTAGTCTCTGCCGAGTACGAAACAGGAGAACTTAAGTCTTTAGTACTGCGGTGCAGATCGTGTATCAAGAATGCCAGCTCCAGTTTCCCAGGTGTCAGAGAGCCCTGTGAAGTGGGGTGACTATCACATTTCCAGGTCAAGATGATCAAAGCGCTGGGTACACTTCGTACAATTTCCACCCAGACAAAACATTCAATAAAGCATTCAGAAATGCATTTTCCTGGCAGACAATAATGCGGAGCGATGTTTGGCCATGTCAAGTGGTAATTTGAGGGAAGAGCTGGAAAGGCAAGGCATCCATTTTCAATGTTTACCCTAAAAAGAGGAATGACTTCCACTTTGCTCACACAGAAAAATGTCTAAATGCTACTCTGAGATGAAATTAGAGGTAATCTAACCATAGAGGTCCTAACTACACAGCAGCAGCAGCACGCTATCACACTTTCCCCTTCATCGTATCGGTGTTTTCCCCGGGGTTGCTCACATCTGAAAGGCTGGGTGTGATGGATGGCATGGTGTCACCCGGCTTAAAGTAAAAGTGGACATCTGAAGGTTAAAAATGATCTATTTTGGGAAGGGCATTTTCATTTGCACCAGCAGCAGAGGTGGTCATGGAAAAGGAAAGGCTTCTTTTTTCTTTCTCAGGTCTATTTTAATTCTGCAGGGATAAGAGGGAGTGTTGAAAGTACTGTGTCATGAAGGTTTTGTTTGACACTTCCTATTACTCAGGAATGATGGAAGGAATTTAAACAATCACCACTTCAGCGAAAATAGTAATTATGACCACTGCAATCACACTAAATTACATCAAATCCCCAGATCTCAGGAAAGTTTAGTCACACAACCAGAAATCACAAGTTCCTCGCCGAGGGTTTTACAATCTTCAGACACTCAATCAATCATTAAAGGTGCTCAATTCCACATTCAGAGCATTAATATAGCAGCAAGCAATTTGTTAAGATGTAGAGGAGTCATGGCCACCTGACTCCAGAATTCAGCATGTTGAATCTGTGCCGGGCCAAACCAATTAATCGGGCGACCTCTACTACCAGCTGGTACATAGAGTTATAAAGTCTAACGCAGGCGCACAACCCACCTGCTTGTTGGCCATTGGCTGGACTATGTGGAGTGTTCAAGTGGAACTTTTTGGCCGAGACACAGGCGGCGAGAGGCGACGCAACAGTTGGCCTTCGTCACTTGTTTTGTGTGGACTTATACGGCAGTTAACGCAGATAACGCCGCCCCGACCCACGGCGGCCCTCCAATCCCCCCTCGGGTAAACACGGTTAGCTCTGTCAGCACTGTTGTTTGTTGTATGCTCAGAACTCCTATTGAGCACATTTAAAGCTGCTCTTTCCAATATTTATTTTATTATAATGGCCCCTCAGCTCTATGTAGCTTTTTTAGCATCTCTCATCTCATTGTTTTGGTTTTGGAGCCAAAACTTTACTGTTTTGGTTCAGTCTCTCATCAGAGTTATTTCCAGATGGAGGAGGCAGCTGTTTTCAGTCAGCTCTGATAATCCCACTGTACACTACCTCCTCAGCACCAAACGGCAGACAGACGAAGTTGGTGACTATAGCTGGTGAAAAAAAGGAGCATTTAGCAACCAAAGAGCCAGATATTTCCCTCGGGACTCGATTGATATTTGAGGAGACCAAACCAAAAATAAAAAGGAAAGTGATTATTCTACCAAACAAAAAAAGCAATTTCAGAGAGAAGCAGACAGACGGGTCTACAATATGTGTTTGAGAAATATATCCAGGATGCCAAACTGATTCAGCATTGAAAACCGGTTAAAAAGATAAAGATAGAAGTTAAAGCCTACAGATCACAATAAGAAGTGAACCACCACATCACCTGACAATCGAGACGGAAGACAACGCAATTCCTGTAAAGCCTGGTAGGTCTTTATTCACCGTTACAATCATTAACAAGTAAGAGCAGCATGCGTAGACATTCAGCATACATTCAGTGCAGCCTAGAAGTGCTAATGCTAGTTAATAATGTGATAACGTGCTCTGCTAATGTTAGCTCAGCGGGTTTTTAGAAATGTATTTCTCCCTCCGAACCCCTCTCTGTGTAACAAGGATAACATTTAATCGCGACTTTATTAATATTCCTCAAAACCAACCTGAAAAAGGACAAAATCTGATATGATTGCATTAGAGTCTATGATTGGCCAGTCTGCGTTCGAAGGGCGGGACTTAGCAAAGGGTCAATTCAGGTAGGAAAAAGCTGAACAAAAACCTCTATCCGGATAAAAATGGGAGACGTCTCGGGAAGAGCAACAGAAGTGGGATCCCTCTTCTAGGACGGACAAGGCATGAAATAGGTGGTGCTTGTAAAAAGTAGAGAGAAAGAAACACAGGTGCTTGTTCTAGTGATAAATTCCTTGTTGTCAGGAAAGCCCTGTGAGCTAACCGGCAGTGTTTCAAAGCTTTGTAAAATCCACCCAGGCCATGCTATCCCTGTCATTACCATAGACAGCCCCCCATCATGCTCTCTAGTGCACAGGGTTCATTACACAGAATTAGATGTCACACAGATCAGAGCGCACATGAGGCCACACACTGCTCTCCTCCTCAGTTATCTCTGTAAAGCACCATTGCGAGGTGGATCGATAGCTGAGGTTTGGAGCTTCATTAGCTCAGTATGACTCCATCTCCATCAAGACACCTCTGGCACGCTACGCCAGTGTTGCAAGATATATTTTACTCCCCTTGATCCTGCAGGTCCTGCTGTTTTACACACACACACACACACACACACACACACACACACACTCACACACACACACACACGGAGAAACACACACGGACAAACAAGACCTTCACACATGATGGGGGGTGGGGGAATCTGTGTCAGTCTCTGGCTCGATAAACAGGAGAAGGAAAGAGGCCAAACAAACAGAGGTAAGTGATAAATCGTGTCACAAAGTG